CGATCTAAATGATCCACTTACTCTAAAAATAAGTTTACTTAAATTTATTTCATTTAGTAACTTATGTTTTTTACATCAAATTTTAACAATCTAATAATTGAATTAAAAGTTTTAATACAAAAATCAAGTTTGTAAATTTTTTAAAAAAATTGAAAACTATTTAATGCTCCATTTCATTAATTTAAATTAACTTATAGAATATTTTTATAATTAATTTATATGTATCATATTTGTTTAATTAAATTTTAATCATTTTAAATTAATTTACTAATAATTAAAAATAATATATCTTATGTTACAATATAATTTATTTATCATAAATATAAAATATAACTTATACATTTAAAATATTTATTTATACAAATTTTACATATTATATAATTTATATATTTAAATATTATATTTATTAATATACAATTTATTATATATTTTAGTTATATACCTTACAAAACAAAGGCTAAAATATTAGTTAATGAAAAAGTAAAAGAAAATATACAACTTAATAATATAGTAATATCTAAAATATTATTTAACTAATAAAAATCACGTTTTGGAGGGTTGATTAACTAATCTTTAATTATCATTAATTATAAAATATTGCATGGTCATGTCTATTAACAAACTAAAAAAGTCGATATCACTTAACCATCAAATAAATCATAAGCAAACTAATAATTTTAACTTTTTATATAAAAGTTACAAATATCGAAACACTAAGAAAGAAATCGATATACACTAACCAAATAAAAATTATCTAATTAATTAATTAAACAAAAAAATATAAAAATAATAATTCTTCCGTGATCGAGCTGACTCATTAACTCATAACATGCAGATTTAAACAAGTATTAAACTCAATTTGTTCAGATAAACCCTTCCTCTTTTTTCCACAAAGCGTGTAAACAAAACTTCTACCAAAAGTAAATAAATAAATAAATGAAAAAAAAATTGACTCCTGTTGCTTTCAAACTATTTCAACTAAAGTAAATAAATAAATGAAAAGAAAATAATTGACACATGTTGCTTTCAACATATTTCATTATTTTTGCTCTTCCATGTGCTCCTTGTTCCATTTTATTTTACGTTTTACAAAAGAAATGTTACATTTTAATTTTTTTTATATGGATGTGGTCATGCAATGTATCATAGCTAGGAGAACTAATTTATATTTGTAGAGTGTGATTTTTTTTTGACAAAATATTATTTTAATATAAACAAGAATCAAATATAAAAAAAAAAAAAAAATTTACTCCCCCATATTTCAAAAGCAGGACACAACATGATTATCATTTTCCAATATTAACGAAACAATAAATATATTTTTCTTATTGTTTTCTTTAACTATTTATTGTCACCAGCATCACATGCCGTGTTGAGTAGTCCCACTTCCATGCACAAGATCATTTAACTACTGATATTGTTTGAGAGTAGATACAACCACATGATGAAGATGTTTGATTAATCACCCAATATATAAGAGAACATGGACATACACATGTTGAATATCATCCAAGCAGTCCAATTATTATCCACCTTCTAAAATTCATCACTACAATAGTATAATGGACACCTTGGAAGATGTTACCGAGCCAGTAAGTCCTAGTGGACGATTCTTCAACACCCAACTTCTATGTGCATATGTTTTTGGATTTCTAGAATCAGAAGTTCCAATCGATTTCTCTCAAGCCAACTATTTGTTCCAACATGTCTTTCTACCCATCAATCCACGCTTCTCTTCCATAATGGTTCTTCACACTCACTTTTTCTTTTAAATGTTTTTTCTTTGCAATTTTTCATAACAATAATTATATATATATCTTGCACATTTGTATGTGTTAGGTGAGGGATGAAGAAGGTGAAATGAAATGGAAAAGGGTAGAGGTGAAACCCGAAGATCAGATAAAGGTCCCAACATTCCCCGAAAACGAGTCACTAGAATTCTATGACCAATATTTTGATGACTATGTGTCTATGTTATTAATGGAAAGAACACCCCAAGACAAGCCACTTTGGGAAATTCATGTGATAAAATACCCAACAAGTAATGCTGCTGGCACCTTAATATTCAAACTTCATCATGCACTTGGTGATGGTTACTCCCTTGTGGGTGCTCTTCTTTCTTGTCTTCAAAGAGCTGATGACCCTTCTCTTCCTCTTTCCTTTCCCTCACGTAAACCCTCAGCATCATCACCATCCTCCAAGAAGGGCTTCTTCCTAGGGTTTTCTCCTTTTTCAAACATGTTCTCATTCTTCAACTCTATCAAGGATTTTGGGTGGAGCATAGTGAAGAGTTCAATCGTAGAAGATGACAAGTCACCCATAAGGAGTGGTGAGGAGGGTGTTGAGTCTCTGCCTTGTGTCTTATGGAACATATCCTTCTCTCTGGATGAAGTGAAAACGATCAAGTCCAAGCTTGGAGTGGTAAGATTCGTGTTGATGAGTAATTTGTTGGGTGGGTGAGAAAAGATTCAAATTAACTCCACAACTTATTTTAAGGATAAAACATTAAGATAGTATCTTAATTACATTTGTTATTCAAATGGTTCTTTGATTAAAATTGTTGATGCTTTATTTTGTTTGTAGTTTTTTTTAAAGGAAAATGATATTTTTTTTTATTAGGCTTAACTGTGGTTTTTTTATTCATATTTCATGATTTATTGAATTTTGTCACCCAACTTATGAAATTGCATGTTTAATTTTTATATTAATCATATTTTAAAATTTCATACATTTTTTTTTTTTTTGTAAGTTGATTATTTAATATTGTTAGTTATTTGTTTAAATGATATATTAATTGTTAACATGACATATCGATAAATACGTTGTCTTTAATGTAATATGTAATTAATGTAATATGTAAATAACCACGTAACATATGTTAGTAGTTAATGTATTATATTAATTATTAATTAATGACTATAGAGTGACAAGATATACAAAATTTTAAAAAATTGATAAAATCTACAATTTCAAAAGTTGAGTAATAAGATTCACAAAATTGTATGTGTAAAAAATATAATTAAACCTTATTATTATTATCTTTGAAATAAGGTAATTTAATATTATTTTTTGTGTAATTACAGACAATAAACGATGTGATTACTGGGGCAATCTTCTATGGGATTAGGCTGTACATGCAAGAGATTGACAATAAGGCAGGGAAAGCAAATTCCACAGGATTGGTGATGCTTAGTACTAGGAACATTGGAAGTTACCAATCAATCCAAGAAATGATGAAACCTGATTCCAAATCTCCATGGGGGAATCATATTTCTTTCTTGCATGTACCCATTCCCAAGCTAAGCCAAGCCAGCCTATCCAACCCCCTTGAATTTGTTTGGAAAGCTCAAAAGTTGATCAAGAGGAAGAGAAGTTCTTTCACTGTTTTTCTTATTGAATGGCTTTTGGACATGGAGCTGAAATTAAGAGGACATGAGGTGGGTACATGTGTAGGTGGTAAGTTTCAATTTGTTAGATATTTATTTTAATGGAAATAATTCACATGATGTTTCAAAATTGATAATTAAAAATTAATTTGTATTTATAGAATATGATTTTTATTAATTAAATTTTATTTTAACACAAATAAAAATTAAACTTAAAAAAATCATCATATCACATATAGATCTTACAATTATTAGATCAATAAACTTTCTTTTAATTATTATTATTTTTTTTAAAGCCTTATTATCTATTGACATGTGTTAACAGGCAGTGGCTAAACACATCTATGGGACACTCAGAAACTCAAGTGTTGTCGTGTCCAACTTGATTGGGCCAATGGAACCTATGGTTTTGGCAAATCATCCTGTCAAAGGCTTGTACTTCACAATGTCGGGTGGACCCGAGGTAACCATCATCTCGATGTCTCGTTGGCTACAACCCTAGTTATTGTGGTCTGTGGATAATAAAAGCCTGAGGAAATTAAAGAATAATTGACCAACTTGAGTTCATTTTATAAATTATTTTGATTTTACAAATTATTTATTTGAATTAGATTGTTTTCAAACTATTTACTAAAATGGGATGCTAACGTTGAAAAACGTTATGTTATGTCATGTCACCATTATTTTTCTTCTAATTCGTTCAAGTTTATATAATGTCATGTGTGTATCATATGAAAAACAGCAACCTCAGTAACATCCTTGAACTAGTGGAATTGTAGTTTTCCACGTAATGGTCAGGTGAAATATTTTTTGTATTTTAGTGGAAGACTAATTTTATTAGTGTTTTTCATTAAAAGACACAGATAAAAAAGAGAAATCACATAGTATTGATTTAAATTTCGCTTAATTAAGTTGTGTTTGTGCTTCGATGAAAAATTTTAAAATTTCAAAAAATGTAAAATTTTTAAAATTTAAATTACTTTGTTTATATAAATCATAAATTTTTAGTTTAGATCGAAGAATTTAATTTTTACCGCATGTAAATTTTATTTCAAATGAATACTACAATATCTACTCAATGTTATCCTTATTTATTGTGTAGGTAGCTCAATCTTTTATGCATAGCATCATGCTAGTTAACTTATCTCTTCGTATCGATAGTGTTACTATAACATGTTATCCTTTGTGATTGCAGAGTATAAATATTGCAATTATGAGCTATACAAGAACGTTAAGAATTACGTTGAAAACACAGAAAGGTTTTATTGATGAGAAGAAGTTCAAATTCTGCATTATGAAAGCCTTTGATGTCATATCCAAAGCAGCAATGGAAATAGCCATCAAAATCAAAAGTTAAATTATCTACAAAGAGAGGGGTAATTAAGGATCTAAAGGAGGGTATGCTTGAGAGTTTTTTTTTTTTTTTTTTTTTTTTTTTTATAAAATTTTTTGGGACGATTTTTTTTTT